AAAAAACCCATTATATGATCATTATCTAAACATACACTAAAAATTAAATTAGTAAAAAAATAAAAATGTAAAAGATTTATCATTTTTATATAATTTTATCTTTAGTGAGTATAAATAATTTTTAAAAAATCAAAAGTAACTTTTTGATATTTATTTTTGTTAAATTAATTTCTATTTTTTCAAAAATAAAAAATAACATATATCTTCTTTGTAACGGAATCCCATTGTTATTACAGGACTCCTAGAACTTTTATAACTTCTAACTTAAAGCCAGCAACAATACAGAGACTCAGTTAAAACCAACAACAACACTGACTCTCTCTCTCTCTCAAATTACGATTTTAAGGAGATCCCAATCACATATGCTTTATGATTGGAGATTACTCTTTGGAGTACTCCCTATTATTATATACACAGGCAAAATCGAAGCCACCATAAATTCCATTACAAACCAAGTAATGGTTAAGTAGAATTGAAAGAAGTAGAAACTTAAAACAGAGTAATGCCATCATAATTGAAAACCATTTTTGCATGGAAAATATTACAACAAATATGATCCTATCCCATGGACAAATAGAAATAATCCACATTTTCTCACAATTATCTTGAATCGTTCAGGTATTTCAATCATCATATCAATGGCTCCTTCACTAGAACACAGTTCCTTTTTTTATATGTCATGAGTCCTCTCTGTGAAATCTCTCTAAAATTTAACTCAAAGGTTATTTTTTGAAAAATGTTAATTTGTTTAGAACAAACAAGAACATAACAGCAATCGTTATCCCAAAACCAGTCCCAAATCCCATCCCAAACGACATTTTGACAATAATCTCTCCCCACATCGGCTTGCTAGGAGAGATTACTTGAGGAACTTGATTACTAATTGGAAACGGAGACAAAAGTTTACCACTACGTAGACCTAGGTTGCCTTCAAAGCTCGAGTTTGGAAAGGTTTCAAACTGCCCTCCGGTAGGGATTGCCCTATACAGTTGATTGTGAGCAACATTGAACTTGGATAGAAAGCTGAGATTTACCAACGAAAGAGGTATAGCTCCGGATAGATAGTTGTGGGACAAATCCAAAATCTCTATGCTTGTCATACCAGACAAATCCTCAGGAATGTTTCCAAATAAATTGTTGCATTTTAGGTCCAAACAATGCAATTTTTTTAGGTTCCCAAACTCGGACCAGATGGGTCCGGTGAGAAAGTTATTGTTGAGGTCAAGAGTCGGTGGAAACCTCCAAATAAAATGTATAGTGTTTTCCGTATAATGCCTAACAAACACTCCCCTGCATGGCAGTGTGAAGAGAAATTATTAGAGGCACAAGGCGGTGCCTTTTTTTGGGTGAATAAGTCCTAAATTAAAAAGACAAGAGGATACACAAATACAAGGGGCATGCCCCAGGCCCTAACAAAACCTATACAAAACTACCAGACACAACAAAAAATGAAGCAAAACAGCTCACCTATTCAGCACTAGCAACACAGCAACAAATTGCCACCACAAAAAAGACTAGATTATGAAATCACTTGTTCATAGCCGCCATGGCAATCAATAAAAATAAAAAATGTCCATCTGTTCAAATTAAAAGATTTTAATATGTTCAGAAACCTCATACAGAATGTATGTTGAACATGAACATATTTAACGTCCTCAACCACTCAAAACAAAGCAAAACATAGTATAGGAGCAATCCCTAGCACAGCCCGCAAGGGTAGGCCAAAAAAGGTCCTATCTAGACATAGACTAGCACTAGACAAATATATACAAATATAAGTAAAACTTTCTTCACACTTTAGGCGCTCCCAGCAGCCATCTGTACTTGCAGCTTCCTTCCACTTTATGTTAATAAATCCCATCCAATATAAGATATTACTCAAGAACACCTGAATTAGACAAGATTGTATTACCATATGCAGTTTTTCCAAATCACAGTCACCAACATAGATAACATAAATGCTCACATCACTCAACCATCTATTTAAAAGCTCACAACACTTGGCAAGAAAAGACAAGCACACAATATATAAGCTCCCATCACTCAACCCACACAGCATGGTTGCAACATAAACCTTCATAGCCTCCTGTGCCTGCAAAATAGATAAAGTATGGCTATATACGTAGTATGTTAGAAATAAAATGTATGGGCAGTGATGGGTTGGTATTATAGATGTGCTCGTTTCCCTCAACCCACATTTGTTATACTTGATCTTCATTCTAGCAAACACTGAGCTACACAAGAAACAAAACATTAGAAAACACACACTCTTGCTCGCTTTCACTCAACCCACATTTACGAAACTCCCATTATCCCTCATTCTTCTAGTGCCTCCTTTCATGCTTGTATAGTCATTTAAGATAGATTGAGGGAGACTCCAAGTATTCAATAACCATTTGTCACTAGGGCAACTTTTCAAGTTAGTAAAAGAAAGTATACGGAACCTAATCATGGCCATAATCAATTTAATAACCACTTCTTCTGGAATTAAGGCTTGGTTAAGAATTCTATTATTTCGAGCTAACCACAAGTGATAGACAGTACAAGTAAACACAAGTCTAGAGATGTGGCCTTCAAAGACTTACCCTTGATCTGTTGAGACAAGAAAGTTACCAGATCAGGCCAAGGCAGATTAGGCCAAGAAACAGCAATCTTAGACTACAGGCCAGTCCACACTCTTTTAAAGAATTGGCATTGGAAAAATAAGTGACAATAATCCTCACAATCCCAATTACAAAAAACACAGACAGAAGGTTGATCAATGCCAAACGACACTATTCTGTCGCCAGTTGTGAGTCTACCCTGGATAGCCATCCAAGTCACAAAGCTAGTCTTAGGGATATTACAAAGACCCCAGATCAACGCAGCCCAAAGAACACTGGTAAAAGCTTTCCTCCAAAAATTCCAAGTGGAATGGATAGAGAAAGAACCATGCTTATTAGGGGTCTAAATAACCCTATCAAGTCCATGGCCAAGTTGTAAGGTATCAGGGATATTATCAATAAGATCCCTAACCTCCCAAGTATTGGCAGTGGGCCACTTCCAAACCTGGTCACAGACAATCTCCTTAACTTAGGACTTACTATTGAGATTAGTCATGTAATGTCAATATATTCCACCACATCAACAAAAATCACTTCACTCATAGACGTTTCATCTATCCACCTTTTCTCAATATTGGCCGTGCATTATAAAAAATTCAAAATTTCAAATTTATAACCCATTTGATTCTTCTCTCTTTCAAGACTAATCACCAATATGAGGAAACATAGTTTCATCACTAATTTGATTTAGATTTCAAAATATAGTTTCACCACTGATTTAAATGTGATATTTAGTTGTAACTTTTAAATCATAATTCCACACCCATTTCTCGAAACTCATTTCAAACTATAATTATTATTTTTCAAAACTTATAACCAAACACACAATTCAAAACTCTTTTCAAAACTCAAAAACAACTTAATTTTTATTTTAAATATTTTTTATTTTTTTATTTTAAATATTTTATTTTATTTTCAAGGAAAATTTTTAATATTTTGATATTTTAATTGTAAATATTTTGATTTTCGAAATATTTTTAATATTCTTAATATTTTAATTTTCAAAATATTTTTAATATTTTATTTTTTGGAATATTTTTAATGTTTATGCATGCTTAAAAAATGAACTGACAGAAAAATTAATTGACATAAAATAATTGACATAGAAGTTATTTGAAAACAAAAATTATTCAAAAAAATTACTTAAAAACAATTAAATGAAAAAAAATCATTTTTTTGTTTGAGTATTTTAAAAATAGTTTAGTTATGACTGTTGATCAAAAATACGGATATCGAGTTATGAGTTGTGTGTTTGATTATCAATTATAGGTTGAATTAAGTTTTGAAAACTATTTTGAAAACTCATCACTAAACAAATTTTCTTATTTCACATGTTACATCAAACTTTCAAAACTCAATTCCATATACAATTTAAAACTCAATTCAACACTTTATTCAAAAACCATAACTAAACATATTTTCTACACTCAAATCATAATTCCACAACTCACAAACTCAAAATACAACTCATATTCTCAAATCACATTTACAAAACTCTACCAAACGCAACCTTGAATTTTTTTTTATTTTTCATATTTTTTTTTTATTTTCAATAACTTTTTAATATTTTACATAATTTTTTATTTTTTAAATACATTTAATTTAAATATGTTTAAAAAATATAATATTTTTGCAATTTTTTTTAAAAAAAATCACTAAATACAAAAAATAAAAATAAAATTCAATTCATTTTCATATTTTATTATATTCAATAAATTTTTTTCAATTTTTTGTACAAATTTTTTAGAGAAATTTTTTTAAGAGAATATTTGTAAAAAATTCACTCTAACAATTGTCTAAAGCATTAGGTTTAGTAGTAATTTTTTTTTTATTGGTAAGAGGTTTACACTTTGTGAAATAGTTTGGTGAGAAACCTAGAGGATAATTTGTTTACAATTTTACCCTCTAATTTTTTTTTAATCTATTTGATTTTTCGTTGACTATCTATTCAAATTTATATCTATATGTTTAAATTATTTGTCTATCTGTTCAATTTTTTTTTCTATCTATTCAAATTTTTCTGTCCAAATTTTTTATCTATGCAAATTTTCTTTGTCCAAATTTTTATCTGTAAAAATTTTCTACGGATGGAAGGTATGTGTAGAGGTCCGGCGGGCGGCCAAGGCGAGGCTGCCGCCCGCCGGTGAAGCAGAATTACTAACTTCTTAACCTTGCTCTGATACCATGTAAAAATGTAATATTATTGATTGATGTATTACAAGATGTGTTGTGTATTGTATGTATGTGATGTAATTACAAGAGAAATCAACTCTCTCTTTATAGAGAGAAGCAATATACATTGGATTCCAAATGATGGGCATTACCACCGAAAGCAAAAAGAGAAAAGAGAAAGCTATACAATTGGCAATATTATATTAACAGTCAGATTGAATTCGATTCATAAAAACCTATAGTTATACATCAAAGCTTCAAAGCTCAATCTATGCACAAAAAACTTTGATCTTCTCTAATGCAAAGTTATGAGTAGCGAGATAGAGAACTTCGATAGAGTATAGGGACATAAATATACAGATTTTTAGATGAATTAAAACCAGAGGAGATTGAGAAGTTTTGAGACAACGATTGAGAAGCAAAGCAAAACTTCTTGTTCTGTGCTGTTCACGGAAGCCGACAAATAGAGAAGAGAGAGAGAGAGAGCTTGGCAGAACTCGAGCTTGGCGGCCTGCACAGCCTTGTCCTTAAGCTGTGCTAGCGTAATCTGAAAACAACATCACCAAATCTCCATCATTCCAAATCAATTCACACAAACAAAAACACAGATAGAATAATTCAAGGAGCCATTTATTCTTCAAAATCTGATAGAATAATTCAACATTAATCCTTTCCCAATGTTGCTAATCAAAAAATAATTAAATTAATTAAAAATCCTTCTGTAGATAAATCAATCAACTTTTTCAAATGATGAATCATTATCCAAAACAAATAACACATATGAATAATCATAATAAAAGCAATAATCACGATAAATACACAAGAATACTCAAAAGTCAATAGCAATTTGTTTACATCTTAAATTATTGCCAACCTCACAAACATGTTGCAAAAATTTTATATGAAACACCTGACTTAAACCAGTAATCTGTCTCCTTCTTCTTCTACTGTTAGCAGAGGATTCTGGTGATGTGTCGGCTGCTGATTGGGTTTGGTTACTGCAACTAGGGTTTTTGAGTCGGTTGTCGTTGTTGTTGTTGTTGTTGTTGTTGTTGATGGTGATGAGGCCGCTTTGTTTGCTTCCTCTACCTTCATTTTTCGCGAATTTTCAATCACAAAACAACTGAATCAACTGCTAAAATCGTTTCTCTGTTTGGAGATATGGAGGGAAGATCTGGTGACGATACAGCGGACGCCGAAGATCGGCGGCGACGGAGGTGCCCTAGGAGACAGAGAATAACGATCTGTGAGAGAGAGAGAGGCCGAACAACCGCCGTAATGGTCGCGAGACGGTGGAAGGAGGGCTCTGTGCGATCGAGAAGATGAAGAGAGAGAGACGAGGGGGCTGTGGTGCAGAACTAGCTGGTGGTTAGGGTTCCGGCGGCAGACTTCGAGGCACCATACTCCGTAGCGGGGCGGAGGCAACGGGGTCTGTGCGGAAGGCAGAGGAGAGAGAGTGAGAGAGATAAGGGGAGTGTAACACTTCGTTTGGTATTCACTTTTTTAACTGATTTTTTTTTGTGTTGGACACTTTTTTTTAGTCTTGTCTAGTTTGGTTTTTTCGATTTTTTTGATTTTTATAAAATAAAAAATATGATGATTATAATTTGAATGTGATATTATTGACTTTTTGACTTTCGAAAGTTATTTTTGTGATTGCGAGCGTGCCAGTAAAGATCAATCAGTCCTTACAGAAAATTAATTGCCAACCAATTATCAGACGATTGTGTTTTAGTTCTTTCAGCGTCAATGAAGAGGACTTTTATTGGTGGCTTGATTTAGAAGAATTAAGCAAGATAACAATATGGGGGATTTGGTGATAGCCCCCTCACTATCTAATTTGTCTTTCAAAAGGACAAGAATTATATAAGTACTTTCAAAACCACTTAATATTTTAAAACTTGTTTCTTTTACTATATTACCCTCATATCTATCAGCTCTCCTATTAAGTCATCTTGACTATGAAAGTAAAATTTTACTCTGTATGAAAGTAAAATTTTACTCTGTATAAAAGTAAAATTTTACATTCTGAAACTAAAAGTAAAATTTTACTCTGTATGAAAGTAAAATTTTACTCTGAATAAGAGTAAAATGTTACACTCTGAAACTAAAAGTAAAATTTTACTCTGTATAAAAGTAAAATTTTACTCTGAAAAACTAGTAAAATGTTAGACTCTACACAAAAGTAAAATTTTACTCTGTATAAAAGTAAAATTTTACTCTGATTCTGTCAAATGAAAAAAACAGAGCAATAGAACCAGAGTAAAATTTTACTCTAGTTCTGTCAAATAAAATTAGATACAAAACAACAAAAATAAATAAAAAACAAACGAACAAACAAAAACAAAACAAATTAATCAACAAATCAACATATCTAATTGAGAAGAAAAACTTCTAAAACTTGATCAACAATCACAAATCTCAATGAAAAGAATACATGTGTTCAACAGCACTCATACACACAAATATATATATATATATATATATACATATATTCAAAACTCAAATCTGTGTTTAAAAAAATATGTATAACCAAACAACTCCACCCGCACTCTTCTCCACGCGGTCATTGCGAACTCGATGGATTTTCAAATTGCAATAGAAGCTTCAAATTGAGTCTAATTTCGCTTCAAGATAGCAAACACAAGTCTGATTTCGATTAAGTTAGCGAAGTCGATCTGCAAGTCATTCGAACTTAGAGTTTGCAACCTTTAAGCCAGATGCAAACTGAAATCGCAATTCCAATTAGAACTTGAAATCCAAAGTTCTCATCGAAGTTGACTCAAAGAACAACGAGTCACAAGAGAGAACCCAAGGTCAGATCGCGAAGGACTCTAGTTCGTAATCGCAAGTTCCAGAAGCTTGAATTCGGGTTGATTATCGAATCGGATCAATTTTGCGATGAAGTCCTTGGTTTCTTAACATACGCAAATTAGATTAAAGCTTCAAACTAAGCTTCAATTCAAATACACAGGTCAGATTGTGATTGCTTGAACCAGGTCAGTGTTCTAGGTCAAAGATTGAATAAATCTTAGGCTTAGATGAACTCGATTTTGGCTGGCTAGAGTCATAGAGACCAAGAAGGTGGAGAGAGAGTGGGGGGAGAAGGTGGGAAGATTTAGTTGATGGTATAATAGTTTGAAAAAATATTTAAATAATAAATTTTATCATTTATACAAGATTTTATAATTATGAAGGGGTTTAGAAAATTTAATTTTTTTCTTAGTCCTTTTAACAATGAAAGGAAGGTAAAGGGGGTTTATAGTCAAATTTCCCTAACAATTAAATAAAGAACAATTGAAGCATTTCATAAAAATAAAAAAACTTACAATGATCCAAACTCAGCCTTGTAGAGGTTTACAGGAACAATCTACTACTTAAAATTACTCCTATAAACAAAGTGCAGTGCAGGAATTTAAAGTACAGGAATGTAAAGAACATGAAATGTAAAATTGGAAATGAAAATAGGTAGAATAAGACTAGTTTTTGGATCTGAGTTTGGACCTTTTTTCTGGGGCCTTCTCTGCTATTTATACTTCTCAAGAATAACCATCGAACTGCATTTCAAACCGTCGAGCTGCTCCTCCATGATCACTGATCATGTTGCTTGATAATTAGTTCCACTAGGCCATCACTTGCAGTTAGGCTTCCCTCCTAATTTTGAATTTGAATGTGAGTAACCGTTGAAGTCACATCACTTTGCATCTCTTTGCCGATCCAATACTACTCAAATCTCGTAATAACCAATACTAACTGCCACGTGTACGATCACGATTGAAGACTTGAATAATCTTCCTGTATTACCCTTATTCTGTCACGCATCAAATTGTAATTGGCTTATACAAAATATGCAGCCAACAGACATTTTATCTTATTAATTTATGTAATTAATTTTGGCATGGTTTGGGAAGTTGGGTTAGAGGTTTTTTTGGCTAAAATAACCACAAAAAATAAAATAGGTTTTTTAGCTTAATAAAACAAAACATTACATCTAATTCATAGTCATTACATTCTTTCTCTCACAAGAAAATAAAAAAATCAAAAGTCCTTCTCTCACAAAAAAGTCAAAAGTCCTTCCCAAATCAAACTTTTTAACCCCAGACTAAAATAGCCAAAAAATTCAAAAAGCTAAAAAGTCAACCCACTTCCCAAACCATACATCTTTTTTAGCTAAAAATCTAAAACCAACCGAAACTTAAATGTTGGGGCTAGTGAAAATTGTATTGTGTATATGATAAATTTAAGAAAGGGTATTTTGGTCATTTTGTTAAAATTTGTCCTTTTGGACAAAGTAATTGAGAGCCTAGGCCTTTGACTAAATAGAATTTGAATTTGAATTTGAATTTATAGATTGAGGCTCAATTTTTTTATTTTTTAATTATATTAAAATTAAGTGAATCAAAAAATCAAAAATAAAAACTTTATTAAAATAAAAATAATTAAAAATATATAAATACGGATTGAAAACTCAAAAAAATATTTTTGAAAATTGATAACTAAACGAGGTGATACTGTTTTGTTTTGTTTGATTTTCATAATCAATTTTAAAATTTGACTTTTTGAAAAAGATGGATGAATTACACTAACGATCCCCGTAATTTGGGATTTGTTTCATTTTAGTCTCTGGCTTTTCAATTGTGAGACATTTGATCTTAAATTTTGAATCTCATTCCAAATAAAGACAATTGAAGACATCTTTTTCTTTGTAAATGGAAACTGTTCCATTTCAATGGCAAAGTTTTCAATTTGATTAAATATAAACCAAACCAAACCAAGCCTTAAGTTCCATTAAATAGAGTTGGCTACATGAACCTTTTTTCTCTACGCGGCTCTATCAAATGCCATCTCGTTAGTCAAATTAAGTAGATCCATATTTCTATTTAGAATGCTAGCCAACGTTAATTTAGGCCTACTCCGTCCCCTAACACTTTCATCTACTATTACAACATAACATCTCTTCACTACTGCCTCGTTGGTCTCCGTTGAATGTGACCGAATCATCTCAATTGATTCTCTCTCAACTTATCTTCTATCGATGCTACTCCTACCCATTCTCGAATACACTCAATCCTAATTCTGTCTTGTCTAGTCTTGCCACACATCCATCTTAGCATTCTCATCTCAGCCACACTCATCTTATCTACATGTTGTTTTTTGGTTGCCCAACACTTCGTCTCATACAACATCGCTAGTCTAATAACCATTCTATAGAACTTACCTTTTAGTCTAATGGGTATTCGTTTATCGCACAGTACCCCAGACACACTTCTCTACTTACACCATCCCACCTTAATCCTATAGGCCACATCCGCATCAATCTCCCTTGCTGTTGTGATAATCGACCCTAAATAACGAAAATGTTCACTCTTAGGTAATTCTTGATTCTCAATCTTCACTTCTCCTCTGCTTTTATTGTTACTGTTACTAAATTTACAATCCATGTACTCTGTTTTCGTTCTGCTTATCCAAAATCCTTTAGATTCAAGAGTTTTTTTTTCAAATCTCCAATTTTGTATTAACTCTTTCTCTAGTCTCATCCACCAGCACGATATCGTCTACAAAAAGTATACACAATGGCACGTCATCCTGAATATTCCTCATCAACTCATTCATAACTAAAGCAAAAAAATAAGGACTTAAGGTAGATCCTTGATGTAACCATACAGTGATAGGAAATTCATTTGTCTCTCCAACAGGCGATCTAATAGTGGTCACCACCCCTTCATACATGTCCCTAATCACATCAATGTAACCTTTTGTCACCATTTTCTTCTCTAACACCCACTATATTATATCTTAGGGCACTCTATCATATGTTTTTTCAAGGTCGATAAATACCATATGAATGTCTATTTTCTTTTCTTTATACTTTTCTATTACTCTCCTTAAAAGATAAATCGCTTCCATTGTTGACCTGTCAGGCATAAACCCAAATTGATTCTTGGACAGCTTTGTTATATCTCGCAATCAGCGTTTCATCACCCTCGTACACTTTCATTATATGACGCATTAACTTGATTCCTCTGTAGTTGTTGCAATTATGGACATCTCCTTTATTCTTATAGATTGGTATTAAAATACTCTTCTTTCACTCATCTTACATGTTCCTAGTCAACAAAATTTTGCTAAACAACCTAGTCAACCAAGCAACCCCCTTTTTACCCAAATACTTCCAAGCTTCAATAGGGATATCATCGGGTCCTAAAGCCTTATTTGATTTCATCTTTTTAAGTGCAATCTCCACTTCAAAGTTCTTAATCCTGCGATAGAACCTATAGTCTTGATTTATCGTATTATTGGCTATTTCTTCCCCTATTGCCATACCTCCATGTTCCTCATTTAATAGTTTCTCAAAATAGTTGTTTCATCTTTCCTTAATCTCTTCATCCTTCACTAATATCTTAGAATCCTCACTCTTGATGCACATAACTTGATTAAAATCTCTTGTTTTCTACTCCTATCTTGGCAAGTTTGTATACCCTCTTTTCTCATTCCTTACTATCTAGTGTAGTGTATAGGTCATCATAAGCTTTCAACTTAGCTTCTCTCACTACTTTTTTGACCTCCTTATTAGCCAATCTATAGCTCTTCAGGTTTTCCTCAGTTCTATCATTCTTCCACTTTTTAAAGCACTATTTTTTTGCCTTACCTACCGCTTGAACCTCTTCCCTCCACCACCAAGTTTCCCTAGAGCTGGGTCCCGTCCTTTTCAACTCTCCAAGCACTTCCCTTGAGACTTTTCTCATACAATTGGCCATCAAGTTCTACAAAGTGTTAGTATCATCTTCCAAGTCCCAAGTACCTTCCTGATCCATTCTATTCTTAAATATTTCTAGTTTATTCCCTTTTAGGTCCCACCATCTCGTCCTATGATGCCCACCATCCTTCCTAGCTTGGTATTGCCCTCTAAAACAAAAATCTAGTACCAAAATCCTATGTTGAGAGGCCAGGCTCTCTCCAGGAATTACCTTACAATCATTGCATTTTAGGCGGTCCACTTTTCTCACTAAGAAGTAATCTATTTGAATCTTAATTGACCCACTCTTAAAGGTTATCAAATGCTCCTCCCTCTTCTTATACATAGTATTGGCCACCACCAGGTCAGAAGCTAACGCAAAATCTAAGGTACTCTCTTCAGCCTCATTTCTGTCACCAAAACCGTATCCACCATGCACCAGTTTATATATGCCTACATGGCCATTAAAATCTCCACCTACAACCAAGTTCTCTCTTACGGGTATCTCTTGTAAGATCTCATCTATTTGTTCCCAAAAATCCCTCTTAGTCTAATCATCTAATCCTACTTGAGGGGTTTATGCACTAATGACGTTCACTATATTCCCTTCAATAACTAGTTTAACTAACATAATCCTATCCCCTTTCCTAATGACCGCCACTATATTCTCCATAAGACCCTTGGCAATAATGATTCCTACTTCATTCCTGCGCCTATCCTTACCACTATAATACAGTTTAAAATTGATATCCTCAATTTTCGTAGCTTTCTTACCCGTCTACTTAGTTTTTTGTACGCAAGCTATACTTACTCTCCTCCTTATCATAACATCTACTAATTCCATCATCTTACCAGTTAAGGTTCCTATATTCCAAGTGGCTACCCTAAACCTGTAGTCTTAGACTAGCTTCTTTACCCGCGCTCGTCTAGAAAAATACGGGAACCTTTACCTATGAGAACCCAAATATACAAATCAAGTAAATATTTAAAAAATAATAATATTACAATCTCAAATATTTTAGTAGTGAATCCTAAAGTGCAAATTAAATATTTGGAAGGTCTTTTAATTAATTTTAAAACCTAAAATAAATTTATGGTGAAAGTCTTTAATTTGAAGGCAAGATTTATTACTTAAAAAAAATAAATAAAATAAAATAAAATAAAGTGTCAAATTAGTTAGCATATTTGATCTAATAATATTTGTATTTTATTTAAATTAATGGGGAGAGAAAAAAAATTAAAACCAAAGATAATATTTTAGAGCCTTTTTGTTTAGATACATATTGTAACCCTAGGTTGCCTAATACAATATATAACAGTAGCAACAGCAGCCACGGGGAGAGAGAGGCTGTAAGAAAAGAAGAAAAAAAAAAGGGGTTGCAAACAAGGAAGGATATTTGGGTGTGTAGTAGGTCTCTATCTTTCTTCTTCTCTTTGTTTTTGTTTTTTATCTTTACTCTATTATTTAGTTCATTGATGGAGAGGTTGTAGGCTTATGTATTTTGTATATATATACAGTTTTAAGAAACCCGAGGAAATAAATTGTGTGTAAAGAATGAGTGTAATTCTTAGTCCAAAAATTCTGCACAAAACCACAAACTTTAAAAATCGAGGAATCATATCAAATGGATGAATTTTGAACTAAAAGTTTTATAGTAGATTAATTACTTATTTAATTGCATATCTGAATTTTCTCATAATTTTTGGGAGTCGAAATCTATGTTAACCGGTGCGTTCAAATCTATCCATATCTTCCTCATCCTTTCCACCCACCTCACCCCCTTCTTGCCCATCACTACGCTCATTGAGAACAGGAAAATTGTCATTGTCTACAAATGCCTCAGCATCATCAATTTGAGCAGCAGCAGTTCCTTCTTCAGATGAGTTCTGTTCTGCAACTATAACAATTACTTATTGTCAACTGATGACCCTGATCATAGTAACACCAAGGAATTGCATACAGATACACAAGTAGTTCAACATAGAAATGAGAAAAACAGTGTCAATAGGGAAAACAAGGACAAACGTGGATACACATCAGAGAAATCACATGAAGTTAAAAAGATAGGATTAGAAAACATATGAAGTTAAACAGATAGGATTAGAATGGGCACCTAATGAGTCTGCGAAACATAGTCAGGTAAACAACACAACACCTTTATTGAATTCACCATAATTATGTCATTTGTTGTAAACACTGTAAAAAATATATTTTTATCTTTCTCATCTCTCTTCTACTGATAACACAATTTAAGAGAAGTGGCGCGAAGACAAAAAATAAAAGGACTCAACTCAAAAAGCCATGGACTGAGTTCCCCCCAATGGTGCCTCAATTGCCAATGCATACTCTTATTTCTGAAACTGTGACGGTTCATCGTTATTTTTCTTTAGTTCCAGACAGTGGCAAATTCAATAACAACAAAGCACATGTTGCTTCCATTCATTCATTAGAAGAGGCCATTGTGCAGAATAGTTCAATCAATCTAGGGTGTTGGAAGTGGTGGACTAGTTACTAAACTGACGACTGGCTTTAATTGCACAAAATAACATCCATAGCCTCAAATTCACATTTTCACACTCAACAGCCCAAGTCTCATACCACCACCAAGAAATAACCCCAATTTCTTCATTCATATAGTGTTCTTCAGCAAAGGGAGGGAAAAGAGTAGATTGGGAATTCAGAAGATGTGGAGAAATTATGGATAGTGCTTTCATCCATTCTTATTCTTGTTATAGAGCCTCACTCAACCAAGAATTCAAATAATTGCTGGGTGAAATTGCAGCCCAAGGTACAAATCATTGAGCAAGGAGAAGGAAACACAATGAAGTTAAGATAGCAGCAATTGAGTGACTCATGTCTTCATGTGGTTCACTTCTTCTTTAGTGTAGTTAAAATTTACTCTCCCCCAAGGATAAAAGACATCTTATCTACATATATATATATATATATATATAATCATATTTATAAGTATCTGAGCAAAGACTGCCCACTCTTAATCGCAAATCAATGATCTGGACCCAAAAGAAAAATCTTTGAACACTTCAAACCATTTGTTTTGTTACATATTTGTTTTCTTAATTTAAAAGCTACCTCTTGACACCCTTTTGCTTGACTAGTATAGTGCTTCCAAATTGAGATTTTAAGGTATTAGTACTACCTGAAATCTCAGCCAGGGATTAACAGAGTTTTCAGGCAAAATTTACAGCCTCAGGCCTTGAAAACATTATTATCATGAGAAATTAGGTGAATGACCTTGTCAAATTATCCATGAATCATCTTTTATTTGCTTTTAAAGTTGACTGTGTATCAATAACATTTCCTAGGCCCACTAAAATCTTTAAATTGACGGGGATCTTCAAAATTAATCCTCAGTGGAAAGAAGACGACAATCATCCGATAATAATATATTTATCTTTACTCAAAAAAGAAATTTAAGTTTCGGAAAACATCAAAATAGATGATAATTTATATACGAACACCATCATCCCGTAATCTCTTTTTTTATTTGACCTAATTCTTTGTAGTATGTGGAGCATTTCCAATTCTTACTCTCTTCTTTTATCAAACTTGAGTGAAAATTTGGTTAAGAGTTTGATCCGGTATGGAACACTCCAATCTTTACTAAAAAAAAAAATCCATCCGTTTTTTTACAAAAGAAAATAATTTAAAATCTTTATTATTTTTAAAATTTCATCAAATTTGAGTAAAAAGATGACGTTGAGAATTTGAAAAAGATTTTATACATCCTTGATTTAGCAAAATTTTTTCTCCCTCCCTATTTGATACAAGTTGAATGAAATGATTGGAGCTCATTTTAGTTCTTTATTCATCAAATTTGAAAATTGGATGAAAGAATTGGTTAGTGTTTTAAAAGGCGCTATTAGGCAAGCGCCTAAGCGTGAGGCGACATGAGGTGTAGTCTTGCGCTTCGAACAAGTCGAGACGAGGCGCAATACACAAGGCGCAGCTTAGGCGCTAAGGGCGAGGGTTTTTTTTCAAGGCGCGAAGCGTGGGCTTCATGGGATTTACCTATTTGTCTACTCCAACTGTTGATTAAGTGCCTTTTGTGGGCATACACAGGGATTCAAAACTCTTCAATATAAAATGACTAAACGTGATCAAAAGAGAGCAAAAAGTGATAAAAGATTGAATATTATGCTTTATATCTTTGTTAGATATTTCTAATTTTTAAAAGATTAAATATTATGTTTAAATATTATCAGAAATAGTTATAATTTTTGAAATTCTATTTATATTTGTAATGTTGAAAAGTCTGCCTATTTTATAATTTTGCTTTTCTTCTATTACTTGTTCTTGACTTTGGTGAGGGGCGCGCCTCGCCTCACACTTAGGCTATAGGAGAACTTATCGCCTTGGAGCACCCAGAGCCTTTTAAAATGCTGGAATTGGTGAAGGATTGGAGATGCTTTTATACAATATAACGCAATTGAATTCAGCTCAACTCTAATTTAAGAACAATCAATCAGACGCTAAGAAAAAGTTATAACCATTACCAACATGTATTCCTTCATTCTGTTCACCCTCTACTTCTTTTTCCTCAGCTGCATTGTCAAACTTGTCATGATCACCCTCCATTCTTTCTCCATCCTCCATAAAGCTCACAGGATTGACATTGACGTTCCTCTCCTCCTCCTTAACCTTCGTTTCCACTGCTGTACTCATTACAGCCTTGTCTGCATAATTTGAGTCTAAAACCCTAAGTTCTTGCTTGATTTCCACTCCGGCGATCATCAGCGGCGCCGCCTGTTCGCCGCCTTCGTCCTTCACCGCAGCAGATAGAGCTTCTTGGCCTTTGTGTTCCGACTCCGGCACTGTGTTGATCTGGTCGGCCAGACTCAAGAAGAGCTCCGATTGTTTCGATTTCCATGTCGATTTCTTACGAGTGGCCGATCGAGGGGGCATGGTCTGGTCTGTTTGTTTCTCTCTCTCTTTCTATATATATAAAGGCCTCTGGTTAATAGGTCAAAAAAAATTATTAAAAAAAAATTAAAAAGTCAATAATTCATATCAAAAAGTCAAATATTTTTTTTTCTCTATTTTTTACATATTTTTTTATAAAAAATTAAAAAATTATTTTAAATATGCTAATTTTTTTAAGTCATATTTTAACTAAATAATCAAAAAATTATTAAATTAACCTGTTTCTAAACAAGCCAGAATGTACAAAATGTAATTATTGGCTATTGAAATTGAAGAACAAACAATGTGGGTAGGGTTTTACAGAGAAATTGAGAGTGTAGAGCTTACCGAACAAAAAATAAACAATAGGGAGCGAATTGATTGATTTCTCCTTTTCTGGTGGAACTACGGATGGCAGAGAAAATGCAAGAAACGGAGAAGAGACAAAGGTATAGAAATTTGATGTGAACGGATGGTTGTTTAAAAAAAACCTAGTAATTTAAATTTATAGTAAATAAAATAAAAATGACAAATTTTTTTAAGAAAAATTGGTCTAAGATTTCTATCTAATTTTTGGATAAGAAAGGAGGTTCACAATAATATTTTTTAATGTCTAAGGTTCTTCAATCTTATTTTAGGTTGTGAAATACCTAATTCACCCTTCTTTATAACCTACGTAGTTTTGGATTTTGGCAAGCTGAAGATTTTATTGCTGTTTTATAAGAGATTTCATAGGGATGGACTTGACAATGGAGGTTTTGTAGGAGATTTTATAGAGATTTTGAAGGTGTTGCAGTGGATTTGACAATGGAGATTTTGTAGAAGATTGCTGCGATCGTGTAGGTATTACAGTGGAATTGATTGTTTTTGTTGTGATTTCCAGTAGAATTGAATCAGGTATGTTTCGATGAATATTTCATATAGATTTCGATTTTTGATTTGATTTGTATGTAAGGGCTCAGATTTCATATTAGTTTTTTGAATGTATTTTGAATTAGGTTTTCGTTTTCAATTTCAATGAATTTGAGAGAGAGGCCATTTAAGTGAAGTTGTTTTTGATTTTTGGAGTTGATTTTCATTCTCTGTTATTGATTAATTTTAGAAAGAGGGTAGCTCGATGGAGTTGATTTTGATTTTGATTTTTTGAATTCATTTTTCATTCTTTATATTTTAATCAATTTCGAAGAGTGTCTAGCTCAATGGAGTTGATTTTGATTTTCGGAGTTCATTTTTCGTTCTCTATTTTTCATTAACATGCTTATCAATGATAAGTTTTGTTCTCTATTTTTTCATCAACATGCTTATCATTTTCTGTTCTCTAAGTTTTGTTCTCTGTTTTTTCTACACATTTTTTTTTATAATCTAGAGAAAATTATAAGTTTATTTTTATAATCTAAGGAAAATCATAGAGAAAATTATAATTTCATATAGACATATTATAAGTTTCTAATCCAGATAAAATTATAGAGAAAATTGTAAGTTTATAGTCCAGTAAAAATCACAGAGAAAATTATAATTTCTTATGGACATGTTATTATAAGTTTGTTATTTTTTATTTTCTCAATTGAATGTTTTGTGAGCATACCAAATATTTTCTATGATTTTCTCTGTATTTGTGTGGAATAGTTAGCACTTTTGTCTTTTGATGTTGATGTATTTTTGTTTTTGTGATCTTAAAAGTGAATATAATTTCATAAATTTCTCTGGACTTTTACTTGTAATCCACATAAAATTATAAGTTTGTTATTATAATCTAAAGAAAACCATAATTTTATTTGGACATATTATTATAAGTTTGTTATTTTTTTATTTTAATGTCCTCTGGATTAGATATATGGATTGGGGAATTAATTGAATGTTTTATGATAAAATCTAATTTTCTCTATGATTTTTACTGTGTTTTTGTTAAATACTTTGTATTTTGTGTTTTGATGTGAATGTGTTTTTGTTTTTGTATAAATTTGTATGTTTATGTTATTTTTTATGTGTTTTTATATTTAACAAGTTATTTTTCATTTTTTTTTTTTCAATTTAGATGGATAGTGCAGTGTTGTTGTTGTGCAATTGTCATTAATGTTTCATGCGAATTGAACTTTGAGGAATTGATTGGTATTTTGTGTAAAACATGAGAGAATTTGAAACCTAAGACGATCTCTATTTCATATTGTATTTGTGGGGCATCTGAATTTATAGTTCGAAATAATATTAATTTTCTAAATATGTTGAGGGTTGTTTGTATGCGTGGTGTTGATATAGTTGATGTTTCAGTTGTTAGGTATAGTACTTCTAATCAAGATAATGAAGTGTGGTCTAATTGGATAGATGTTGCGCAGGGTGAATGTGATAGGCTTGTGGATATTGAAAGGAATTGACTCTCTAAGTTTTGTTCTTACCAAGAAAAGGTGTTATTGTCATCTAGTTAGCGAAATAATATTAGAAGTGTTGGACAAAAGTGTTGTTCAAATTTTGAAATTAAATAAATAGATTTATGAAGAAATCAAATTATATATATACTAAGAACACATGCTAATAATTATAACTAAATTTCAACAGAAATACACAAAACAATAAAAGGGTAAAGAGACGAAACCGAAGCCTGCACGGAAGCAGTTTCCTTAAAACAGATTTCGCCGCCTCACTGGTCGAGTGCTTGAGGAATCCCGACGTCTGTCTCCCAGGATACGATGGTCAAAACCAGCTACGGCAGAAGCACTCTCTGTCTAGCTTAGCGAACAAAACAGTGGCAGCACTCTCTCACTGTAGGAACTTTCAGGCAAACTGACTTGTGAAAATGGAAGTAAAAATTTCTGTGTTTGAGACTTGACAGGAGGGTCTCAATTTATACATGTATAGGGGAGAGAGGAAGAGCCTCCAGTCTTTATGGCTGCTCATAATGCACCATTAACCTCTGCAATAAAGGCAGGAGTTACAAACCCCATTAATGCATTATTAAACTCTGTAATAAATGCAGGAGTTACAAACTTCATTACCTTTTTTCCATGAAGCTAACTTCATGAGGTAATTTCTCATTCAAATCTCAATAGTTTTTGGCCATTCTATCTGTGGTGTAACCCATTAATGCATTATTAAACTCTGTAATAAATGCAGGAGTTACAAACTTCATTACCTTTTTCCATGAAGCTAACTTCATGAGGTAATTTCTCATTCAAATCTCAATAGTTTTTGGCTATTCTATCTGTGGTGTAAAGATCTCAATGCAAAGTATCTAGACCCACTTGGACCCAACACAATAGATGGTTGGGACCCACTTTAATATTTAATTAAAGTCACCAAAAAACCATTTTTTCCAACAAAAAGTTTGAGGGTGGCGTGGTTGAGCTCCGTACTATTTTGTGAAAATAAGCTATTGAGGTTGGTTTTGAGTTTACGTATGTTAAAAATGACAAGCTAAGAGGTACAGTAGAATGTGCATATAAGGAATCAATGGGATGTATATGACGTGTACATGCTTCAATTGAAAAAACAAATGGGTTCTTTTACATAAGAACTTTGAATAATGACCATACGTATGGTGTGGCAATTCGTACTAGTAAACATGGTAGGATGACTTCCAACTTAGTTTTTAAGCTAATGCTTGGAGAGGTAAGTGTGAAGCCGCTAACTCGTCCAGTAGTTGTTGTCAAAGAAATGAAAGACAAATATAGGGTCTCAATCAGTTATAACTGTGGTTGGTTAGGGTTGAAAAAGCAAAAGGTAGTACATATGGGGATTCTTGTTTGTCATTTAATGAATTACGTTGGTATTTTGATGAGGCATGGAAGAACAATTCAGATAGTCATTTTCAGTTAGATTTTGAAGATAACAAGCGTTTCAAAAAGTGTTTGTGGCTTTTCATGCATGCATTATTGGTTTCAACTATTGTCGACCATTATTGTTCCTTGATAGAACTTTTTTGAAAGGACGATACAAAGGAGTTATGCTTGCTGCAACAAGGAAAGATGGGAATGAAGGTAATTAGAAATATATCAAATTTTTTCTAAGTATGTGAATTTTTTGTAGATATGGGAATTGGGGTCAATTTTCTATGTTTGTGGTCATGTTTTGTAAATTTTGTGAAGTTTCTCTGACATTGTGAATTTTCTCTAGATTTGGCCACTATGTGAGTTTTCTCTGGATTTGGCCACTGTATAAATTTGCTCTGGATTTTGGCCATTGTGTGTGTAAATTTTCTCTGGATTTGGCCACTGTAAATTTTCTCTAGATTTGGCTATTGTGTGTGAATTTTCTCTGGATTTGGCTACTGTGTGAATTTTCTCTTGATTTGGTCACTGTGTGTGAATTTTCTCTAGATTTGGCCACTGTTTGTAATTTTTTCTGGTTGTTCAATGTGCGAATTCTCTCTGCATGTGTATATCTACTATGCTTATTCCTATTTGTTTTGTAGGGTTTTTTTTCCTCTAGCTTTGTCATTTGTTGATGTTAAGAATAAGAATAATTGGTGTTGGTTCCTTGAACATTTGTGTCAATTATTGGAATCGAAGAGGATGATAAGTTTCATATCAGATCGACATTGTGGTATTGTGGAAGGAATTGCAAGGTTTTTCCCTAATTGCTATCATGCATTTTGTCTTAAATATCTAAAGAGAAATTTGAGGGATAATTTATTATGTGGGAACACAAATTTGGTTAGGAAGATGATCGTGTCCAAGTTTTCAGAATGTGCATATGCTCCAACAATGTCGTTGTTCCATTTCAAGTTAAATGAATTAAAAAGCGAGGGATGAGACATTGTGAGTATTTTCTTGAGAAGTTTACCATATGAAAATTGAAGTGATGCATATTTTGAAGGGAAACATTATGGCGAAATGTATTCAAATGTTACTAAGTCGTTCAATTCATGGCTATGAGAAGCTCGGCACTTGCCAATAAAAAATTTGGTGGATATGATACGGTTGCAAACTATGAATATGAGGTCTGATAGAAGGCTAACGATGTAGGTCGAAAGGTACCACATTGAGATCGCTTAAGTTACATTTATAGTCTTTTTAATTCTATTTATTTGGCGGAGATGATGTG